CTACAGGAATAACCGCGAGTTGCTCCCGAGATGAGGTCACACTACGTTTTATTTCAAGACATGGAGGAAGCAGGACAGCAGCGAAGGGAGCGTAAGGAAGAGAACAGTCAGAATCGGAGTCAGAAGAAGCGCAGTCGGCGGAACAGCGTTAGCCACGCGGCAAGGGAACAAGGGATGACGAAAAATAAGAAAAAAATTCCATTTCAACTACCGACGTTTTGCGACTTTGGGACTAGTCCAGGACTACAGCCCATTGAACGAACATTCCATTTTCGCATTTCATGATGACTGAACCAAATATGCAAAACCCGTATCCCGTCTTGCGGAATCCCGTGTCTCGGGCACGGAGACAAAGAGCTCAAAGAAGACTAGATAACAAGCCACAAAGGGACAGCTCCTGGCGAACAGACAGCAGAGGCACCGCCGCTTCAGGCAGTCCATGGCAGGAGTTTCCTCTTTCTGGAGCTGCCTGCAGAGAGCCAAAATCCGTCCGATGTCGCCGCCTTACCCGACCCGACACCTTTTTCCCCTTGAAAATGCACAGAGCATCCGCGAAGTGTCTTTCCTTTGAACGAAGTTGCGAGCGAGGGTAAGCCCAGGAGCAGCCTGTCGGTAGATGAAAAAGTTTGCTGGCATCTATCGCCAGTCCGTGTCAGCTGTATTGCGGTGTTCGTGTCATTTAGTGGGTTCCAGGTTCGTGCCAACGCCTACGCTAGAGCGGTTAAAACGCCCCTTGGATTGCTCCAACGACCTTAGCTCGGTCCGCCCATCCCCGGCCCCCGTCTCTCTGATCTCCTCTGATCTTCTCCTGGTGCTGTCATACTCAACCCATTTACACTTTGCTAGAACACAGCCTAGAGGGGGGGTAGACCGTGGCTGGCGGGCTGACCCGTTTCTTCCTTGCTGCTCCTCCTCTTCTGTGCCCCGTCCTCGTGGGAACATTGGGTTCCAGTTGCCTTCACACACGCAAAATAGCACCAGCACCAGTACGCAATAGGGCCTGTGTCCGTTGTTGCTTATGTGGTCACTGTGGTGCGCGCCGCTGTGTGCTGCCCAGTGTCATATTAGCCGGTGTCTCGGGTTCAGGGTCTGAAAGCCCTGTCTTGGGTCCCCCCCCCCAGGCGATTGTTTCTTGAACGATCGCCGTGAAGTGGGAGATGACATGTCGCCATCTGGCGCATCCCGCCCCAGCCACATTTTCGTTGATAAGCTTCAGCAGCGCACAACGAGAGACTCACGGTCCCCCGGGACGATGATGATGATGGAAGCTTCACTTCTTCAGGACATAGACTCCGCGGCAGGTGTGTCCAATGTGTGTGTGTGTGCTGTCTTGGACTCTGTACACGGTGTTTTCCCCGAACATTTCCCCCCTTGGAATCCCTCGCTCCCGAAAACCTTAGCGGGTGTATGCGATAGCGAAATGGGTGTGGGACACACATAGGTTCGAAGCCGGCCGTTCTTCCGGGGGCGCGCTGTTTTTAGCCTCCTTTAGCCTCTTTGCGGGACTGTCTAGTAATCCGGCACGGTCTCCTCGTCAGGTTTGGCACCATATGGGGGCCGTCCACGATTCACGAACCGGTGGTGCAAAGAGCGAGAAAAATCAGATCTAGGAAGAGTTTTTTTGTCATCACAACTGACAAATCGTCTCGATTGAAGCAGAATTTCTGTTTCTGGTGTTGTTTCTGATTATAATCTCCGCAACGGTGGCCTCATCTCGGCGGCCCCAGGGGCGCGCCAGTCAGTCAGGGGGTCCGGTGCTGATGGCCCCCAAGAATAACGACATAGGCACAGTAACACAACCGAGGGATCTTTCGACTGCCCCCCGCGCGCATTGTCGGATAGAGTCAAAGTGCGTCGTGATCGAGCTAAGCAGCAACCGGTATCGCCATCTCGTGTGCCTCGGGAGACGGACGGACGGCTCCTCGTGTTGTTCTCCCCTTACGCGATGCCTAGCTTCACCTTAGTCCGAACCGGTTGCCCACGCCAGGACTTAGACCATCATCCATCCCGAAGTTTGACAGTTTTCCAAACGGACTGTGGGAGAAGGAAACCGCTACAATCTCTCAACATGCAGAGCAGAAGAGTTCCCGCTCACGGGCGTGGACTGGCGGTGTCAGACGCAGATTTGTTCTGTTGCTGGTCCCTCCCCCGACCGACGAAAGGTCTGGTGACTTGCTTCGTCGTCTCAGGCTACTGCAGAGACTGGGGCTGGGCAGTAGCTTTTTGTCACCAAAATTCCAACACCATCTTTGGGCAGCTCGAACCGTACCGAACTCCCGCCGAACTCTGGCTGACCCAGCTGTGTTTGGGTCTTGGCGTCCCATGGTCTCCTCTGTTAACTTTGGGGCGGCCTTCTTGCTTCTTGACATGCTTCCACCTTTCCAGAAAGACGGGCTGATGGGCAAGACTCTGCCAGCTTCGCACCGCTATGACTTGGTATGGGCTTCAGTCCGTTCATGAGGGCTCTGTCGCCTAGCGCGTTTGAACTCCGAGTTGATTCCAGATTGTTTGCGATGACGAAGACGAAAAGGAGTTGCCGAAAAGCATAGCCGCGTCTCACCACACCCACACTCCATACACACAGTCAGTCAGACACACCTACCTGCCTGCGAACAAGTCTATGTGTGGGCTGCGGACTCTCGTGTAGCGATAGTGGTGCTGAGGATCCCGCCTACGAATCTCGGCGGAGACGCCCGTCGGGCACTAACACTCCTCAGAAAAGGTTCTTCAAGCTGTCTGAGCCCCCCTGCTCATCACTATCGAACGCACCCCGATCCCTCAATGTTGCCCTTTCTACTTTGTTGGCCCAAACCGCGGATTATCGTGGTTGTGATTCGTCCTTCATCCGTCATTGAATAGCCTACGGTTCTTATCATGCCGTCTTTTGCCCATCAAACAAACGACGTTTCTTTTGCATTGCGAGGCTTTCGGATGACAACTCGGTGGACGCTTGGGCTTCCCGATTGTCAAATCTGCCCGTTGCCCTGAGCTAATAATATCCAGGAGGCATCCTCGTCTCTCAAACCCCCGTTCGGAGCAGACTTTTTTTCCAATTTCTTGACGATGTGTACGAAGTGACACCAAGTATCCGGTGCTCAAACAGACGCAGACATCGCGTCTTTCCAATGCCTGAGACAGTCAATCGTTGATTGCTGTTGTCTTCTGGTTCATGTTGACCAGGGGTCCTGTGACGCGGAACCGCACCTCTAGCAAGCGAGCACAAGCGCGGTTCCCGCGGCCAGGCTGACACCAACAACCACCTGAAGTCAGCCCCTCTCAACTAGATACTTCGCCCAGGTAAGCGAAAAGAAGATCATCGGAGAGGCCTGATGGCTACTAGTTCTGTATCTTAGTTGAATGAGAAGAAGAAGCAATGATTGATCCACCCAGGGCAAGATCCGGTGAGGCGTGAACCCGTTACACAAAGATCGATCCAGTATCAGCATCCGCGACACTACGACCCGGCTACGATCACGGCTCTCGCCAAGGCCCACTGGCGCCATCAACAACCAAGGAGAAGCCTACCAGACGAATGTGACGTTGCCATTCTCTATTCGCTGCCTGCCCCTATCTCCCTTCACCCGGGGGAGAAAAAACAGAACAGCAGACCAGGCAACTAGAGCAAAGGTATGTTGTTGTTGCTGTTGTCCGCCTGGGCAGACCGAAACGTCTCTTCCCCTTGAGCGACAGAAACAGCGAAAGGCAACAGACTGGACTCGCAACAAGACGGAAGCGCCACACAATATCGAATTATAGCGGGCGACGAAGTCATACGCGGGACGACTCCGCATATCAGCTCATTCCTGAATAGCCTCCCTGCCCAAAGGCGGAGTCTAACAGGAATCCTGGGGGAGAAGCTGGAGTAGAGATGCCGCCGAGCTTCACACACCCCCTCCCTCCTCCGGAGACAGCATCAAAAGGAGGCATAGCAACCTGTGCGAAACGTGGAACGACGAGACAAACCACGCAAAAGGGAGCAAGTATTGCCGATGGGGGGGAGACCGTCCTCCTAGGAAAACTTAGGTAAATGAAATTTACAAGCTGTCATAGTTGCACCGGACTACACTTCCTAGATCGAATGGTACACTAATGCGAGTATCGAGCAAAAGAAGGACGTTAGGGCAACTAGCGGCGCTACGATCTGGCAGCAAGACGACCGCAGCGGCCCAATCACCGTCTACTACGTCGTGATCTTCTCGCCGGCAGCTCCATGCTTGCTTTTTCCCTGCCGCGCCGTGGGCAGACAGAACGGACACAGAGAGAACCGCAGAGAAACATGAGACAGAAGAGACGCAGGGCCCGTCTACTGCCGACCGGAGGCTGAACTTGGCACGGCTAAGCAGGGGCGGAGCTGGCCGAAAACTGCGAGGAATCCGAGACACAGAGATCGATCGCGGCAAAGTGTACTGATTTCCTTCTGGGGTTTGGAAGAAGAAAAGAGCGAGCCTCTAATCGTACCAGCTGAGGCTCTTAGTCGACTTCGCTAATGCAGAACTTGCAGAATCATCAACTTTGCCGACACGGGTCTTTTGAGCGAAACATAAGCCGATACGAGAGACGCGGATTTCTCTGAGACATTTTAGGCTTAAATTCCAGAGACCGAATTGTCCCCCAACTCCCGTCTTTTCCGCTGTTTTCCGAAACCGAGTTTTGCTGATACATATATGTAGGGAGGGTTCAGCGGTAAGGCTTCTGAGACAGCGGTCAGTATGCAGACGCAGTGAGCCTGTAGAACGTTTCTTCTGGATCTGGAAGGAAAGGGTTCGTTGACGTGGGGGAGAGCGGTGTAGCGGAGTTGTCCATCAACGGCTATTCGTAGAGATGTAAGTTGACTTTTCTTTTCTTTTTCCTTCTTGGCCTGCTCTACGACAAGTCACAAACAGCATGCCAAAGCGTGGAGAATAGTTGGCTAATACGAGATTTGCAGAGTTTGATAGATCCAGTTCGATGGTTTAGTCGATCAACGACTTGAGCCGGCTGTACAACACAATACAACTTGAATGACTCGAAGTGTAGACTTTCAATGCACTCCCCATCCTTACGGAACCGGTGGGAGAATTTAGTCGAACGATTCGTGAACACAGCAAATAGTCCCCTGAAGACGAAATAACGACTTTAACAAGGCGCTGTTGGATAACAATAGGTGATTCGAACAAAAGTTGTCGGATGGAGGGTTTCCAAAAGACGCCGTTGTTTTTGGGTAAGTTCGTTTGTTCCCCGTGGCAGTTGACGAATAAGAAAGCGCTGGTTGCAAGTAGAGGGGCTAATGCGAGATCTACAGAGCGTACGGGACTTCATGCACTGATGAGCACATTTGCGGCGCATTTGGATAACGGACTGAAGCTTGCGTGGAAACGCTCGCAACATTGCAAAGGTATACGCATTCTTTGAATTGTCCTGGTTTTTGGGGGAAACCCGAGTTGTTGATGTGACGACAAGGAGTAGTAGTTGCTAACATCATGCAGGATTCGCATTCGCCCAGAATAGAACGAACTGCTAAGAAATCGGAACTCTTGCTTAATCGGAACGACTGCTTAACAAATTGTGAAGATACGGCGGGAGGGCAAGAGGACCTCGAATGTCGCAGGTTAACAACTTTGCTTCTAGTTGACGAGACTGACATTCGCTCAGGAAACAGAAGCCTTTTTATTGCATGCACACTTAACGTCAAAGTCCTTTGCAAATTGTTCAAGACGAACAAACTCTGCAAAGCGGACGACCAAATCGCCTGCCAACAGCAACATGGGAAGGAGGCATCATGGCTTAGCAGGGCAACAAATGATGCCGGGAAACCACCGCAGTAAGTTGACGGTCCATTCCCAACTGTTTATCGAAAAGCGTTAGAAGCAAAGAGAATTGCAACGAATTGAGCAGTGGCTAAGTCGAGACTTGTTGGACAGGAAGTCGAGCGTTAGCGACGTGTACCAGGCTTTGTAATTGAAGCCTTCTCGCTGTTTTTCTCGGTTCATTTGCTTTTGGGACATCATGTTGAGTCTTGCGTCTAAGAACGTGAAACGAATCGCGGCCACTCGTTGGAGCCTGGTGAGGGCTTAGAAGTTGACGCAAAGATTACAGTAACCCCGCGCAGTAAGTGAACAGTCCCTTTTCCAATTGTTTCCGGGGAAATGTTGGACGGAAGGAGAATTGCAAGCGGGTTGAACAGTGGCTAATTCGAGCTCTACTGGACAGGAACCGTCAATCTGCCAAGCCTGGGTGTGCACCTGACCATGCGACGGGATTCTCTCACGAATCTGTTTGAACATTTCTGGTCCGGCAAACAAGTCGATAACCCGTCTAAGACATCGGACTTAGGCGTCGTTCCCTCGTTGGAGCCGCATGACAAACACGAAACTTGGCAGATGACAATGTCGGGCGGCTCCCCGAGTGTACAGGACGGGTGAAACGTGATGGGTTGAACGAAATTGAACTAGGGCGACCTTTTTCAATTCTCGATAACCCGCCGAAATCGACCGGCTTCGTCAAAATTCGACTGGCTCGTGGCTTGTAGACGACTGTAGCACAGAAGCTGGCCCGCTAGATGTGAAGCAGCGGCGAAATGGACACGCTGTAAGTGATTGAATCCGCAAACGACGATTTCGAGACACCCGCTTATGGTTTTCGATTTGCAGAAAAATAGGTCTTAATGATGGGAAATTGCGTTCTGCCAGCTGGAGCTCAATTTCTACAGTTGCAGGTCGCCGCGTGGACAGGCAAATGTCTCACGCCGAAACACAACTACAGCTACGAATACGAGAGAAATAAGCAAATGCGACTCAGACTATACAAGTTTCCGCCTATGTGCGAGGACTATACAACTGGCAATCCTCAAGTTTCAAGAACGGTGTTGCTCAGACTCTGACAGGTTCCAACAACTCCCCCTTTCCCCCACAAGTTCGTTTTTCAGACGGTTGCCAGATCACGGTTGGCTGATTGTTTTCCAAATACCAGCAGTTCCCAATTGGGACTGTAGCGGACGGAAAATTATAGGAACACGTGCGAGCGCTACCTAGACGAGAGTTCCTTGCCCATTTCGCCGCGGAGATGCAACGAAAACGCGAAGTTCGTTGGTTGGATTGGCCAAAACTGCCTTTTTCTCCCCCAAAGTTCTCGAACGCGATCGATCACCCCCCGCCGGGCCTAGTCCCGATTCTGGGGGGGTTTGTTACCTACGAAACGGAAGGCTCCGCGAGCCTGCAGGACGGTACCGATGCAATACCCCAAGTTGTGGCGAAAAATCGAAAATCAATTGCTAGTAATTCGGAAGGGTCGAATAATGCATCGTACTCTTTAGACCTATTCGGGCGCTTTAACGGCTACCGTGGAGGTTCGAAGGGTGGAAACGTTATTCAGCCCCCACGATTCCTGCTACCGCAACTTGGCGACTCTACAAGGGCAATTCAAGGGCATTTGAGTCAATTGGGTTGATGTAAGGCCATTGCGAAAGAGGCGGCTTTTCTCTGAGTTTTCTCTGGAAAAGTTCCATGGCGAAAAACAAAAGGTGGCAATTGCTGGCGTAGAAGCTCGATTATCCCACCTACTATTTAGACCTGATGCAAACTGTGCAGGTCTGGAAGGTGGGAGCGTCATGCCCCCGCGATTACTAGTGTCGCAACTTGGCGATTCTACAATGAAAGACAATTGAGTCAATTGGGCTGTCGAGTTGCGAAAGAGGCCGTTTTTCTTTGAGCAAATATGCCCACTACCAAGAGTTGGTTTTGTTGGTTGGATGGATTGTGGCGCGCATTGCTGAGTAAAATGTGCTCAAACACGCTCATGGGCGACGCAAAATGTACGCCGCTGCGCGTATAATAGGCGCGCATGTACGGATCTTCTGCAAATGCAGAAATGTATATTCCATGCCTATTGGAATGCTCTGAATCGAATCACAAAGGGCAAAAACAATCGCCGGTCGGGAAATGCACGAACTGGCCGAGAACGGACGAAACAAAGGAAACAGCATGCGCGGGAGGGCACAAAGCAGTTGCAGCGGCTCAAGCCGCTCGAGCACGTCTAATGCGACGGCGACACTGGAATTTCCATCGTAAGCGATGATTATCCCGACGATAGAGGCTGATGACTGGTTGCTGACGCTCTGTAGGAAACACTTCATCTTTGACCGAGGTTTGTAGCCTGCGATTGCGGCGCGGACAAAGAGGACCTGCTAACCACACCGGCCGCAGATTGGTATCCAGACGTGCCCCTCGTGATCCAAGCCAACCAGTTAATCATTGGACGTCTTTCGGAAGGGTACCCGATGGCCGAGCTCGTGGCGGAGGCTGCGCGAAACGAAGCTGGTTGTTGCCCCGGGACGATGGCGGCGTACTTCCACCACGCGATTACGCTTGAGCTGGCGTGTCTTATGAGCCACGACACGGTCCAGATGGCGATTGTAAAGGGTATCCGGGTATGATTATTATGTTTTCGATCGTGAGGGAATCGGCGTTGGTGAGCGATGTTTGTTTGTTTGATGGGAATTGTTTCTCGGGCGGAAATGTCGGAATCGGCGCGGAATTCGTATCGGAATGAACAGGGCAGCACGGCGTTTGAGGGTATCGTCGCTAGAAGCGCTGGAAAGGGAAATACAACCTGTATGTGCTTTTTGGTTAAGAGATATAGTCAGTATCCATCACAGCCTTACATTTGGACGACATCAAAAGAAACACGGCACGCCCGCAAGGGCCCGGATACGGTGCACCGGGGAATAAGGGCCTGGGCCAAAAGCAGCATCTCCGTACCGGATTTTCAGGGCCGGCACGGAGGGCCCCGGGGGAGTTTCCAGCATTCCTTTCCATGGGGGGACATGAAACCTGTGCGAACCTCCGGAGGCACGTTTGAGAGTGGAAGCAAGGAGGCCCTTTCCTGTTACAGGTGGCGGACGGTGGGGAACGGTGGAGCAACGAGATTCGCCAGTCGAAAAGGAGAGAGAGTGTCAGGGATTTGGTGTGGTGTGCGATTGCACAACCACAGCTGATTGCGCAGACGGCTCGGAAGGGAAGGCAAGGGATGGAGAAAGGAGGGGAAGTTTGCCGAGGAGCGTGTCAAGGGTCATTGGCCAACTGCGTCGTGGGAGACAGCCAAGGGTGGCGGTGCTGATGACATAATTTCAGCCCCCTGTCCCTTTGGATAAGACACCTAGGTACAATATACTGATTACATAAGGCGACAAAGGCTGATACGCGGCTGCCTCTTTCTCTCCGAGTCCAGAGTGGGGGGCTCCGTCCGTATCCACGGTTCTCATTGGCAGAGGTGTACAGGCCTGCGTAATCGCCCAGATCTGTTGAAGGTCTTTGATTGGCTTTAGTCTCTCGCTTAGTGGGACAGCTACAGGGTCCCCTCTTCAGTGAGCAGACAGAAGACACTAATGCGGCTGCTGCTGCCAGACTACAGGCTGCCACAGCACTGTATTGAGGTCCATTGCAGCGTGTGCAGCTTAATTCAGCGACTGAGGTGCAGCACGGACGGGACGACGGCCTGCTGAGATGGTACTGGACCAGACCAGGACCCGACTGCCACTTTGGAACAGACTACTGGGACGGGACCCGATGGCAACGCCTCCAACAAAGTGAACCTCGAACAATCAATTACCAAATCACAGATCGCCAGCTCCGTGCTTTCGACACGACCAGACCTCCCTCATCGACCCCTTCACCTGCTGCCGCCTGCCGGGACGGTATCGTGACAACGACACTCGACCCGTCCTCCTCTTCTCCGCCCCGATAGACTCTAGACCCGGTCAATGTCTGCGCGTACCGCAGCGGCATCCATGGGCGCGCCTGTTCTTCGATAGTACTCGACTGCATTGCGTTGCGTTGCATCTCATCTGCACCTGCACCCACGATCCTCACACAAAGAACACATACACTCCTTCGCTACTCGGACTGCATCTCCGGCTTCGATAACTAATCTCGCTCCTTCGCTGCTGCGTCCTCTGATGCCTGCCATCAGCCGCCCTCTATAACCAACCAAACACCCTTTCGTCATCGCAGAACCCCTGATTCCCGGGGCCACCGAACACACACACACACACACACACGCCACGATGCCGTCGGATCGCGACCACCGGTACGAGTCCGTACCACCAATCCCCTCGTACGACGAAGCCCTCGCCGTCGGCGGCCCGGCAAACCCGTCCGATTGGAACCCCCCGCGCTCCCCGATAGACGACCGCTCACAGACCGAGACCGAGTCGCAGTCCCTGCTGCACCGCAATGGCGCCGCAACCTCCTCCCGCCGCCCCGGCGGCTACCGCCAACCAACGGTCGAGACAGATGACGAGGACAGCTCCTGGAGCGACGATGATGGCGACGAGACGGCGTATGTGCGCAGGGAAATGCAGGAGCTGGAGATTGGCGAGCCCGACGACAGGTCGCGCTCCTCAATATGGGGCAAGAGGATACCTTTCGCCCTCTCCCTGTCCCGCTGGAAGTGGTCTTGGCGATGGCGGCTGCCAAGGATACAGCGCCCTACGATCCGGCTACCATCCGGTTCCAACGACAATTCCAACGACGGTAACGATGCGAACACGACCACGACGTCAGCGAGAAGGAGGCTGCGGGAGGCTTTGCCAAACTGGGACAAGGACAAGGCGCGGGCGGCCATTATAATATTCATACGAGTCTTTGCCATCCTGTTTGTCATGGGAATTCTGTACGCCCTGTTTATGAGCGATCTGTTTACGAGCATGGCGAGGAGGATGAACGGCGGCCTGCGCTTCAACCCCGAAGACGTGCGCCAGTTTGTCCAGGGCAACGTCGAGGCCCGCAGGCTGCGCGCCTCCGTGGCCCATTACACAAAGTACGCCCACATGGCAGGAACCGAGGGCGACTACGCCCTGGCCATGGACGTCGAGTCCATGTTCACCAGGGCCGGGCTGGATTACGTCAACATCGACGAGTACTACGTATATATGAACTACCCGAAGGCCGGCGGACGAGCGGTCGAGATACTGGGCGACGACGGCAAGGCGAAGTGGACTGCGAAGCTGGAAGAGGAGGAAGTGGGCGGAGAAGCCGCGGGGCACCAGACTCTGGTCTTCCACGGTCTGTCCAAGTCCGGCGACGTCAAGGGGCCCCTCATTTACGCCAACTACGGCGCACGATCGGATTTCAAGAAATTGGCCGACAGCGGGATCGACACCAAAGGCGCGATTGCGCTAGTTCGATACTACGGCCCGCAGGCGAACCTGGCGTTGAAGGTCAAGGCGGCGGAAGAGGCCGGCTTTGCGGGGTGCATCGTCTACAGCGACCCGGCGGACGACGGCTTTAGGATGGGAGACGTTGCGCCCAACGGCCGCTTCATGCCCGCGGATGGTGTCCAGAGAGGATCCGTCGCATTGTCCAACTGGGTGATTGGCGACCCCCTTACCCCTGGCTGGGAGAGCAAGAAGAACCTCCCGCGCATG